TGACCATAGCTAGGTGAAAGGCAAGTTAATGCAAACCTTTTTTGAGCTACTGCATTTAGTTGTTCTACATTGCAAAACCTTATCAATTTTAATTGTTGTTTTCCAACAGACTGCAGCAGCTTCAGCAGCAACAATGGCCATTCCTGAAAATTTGTCACAAATCCAGCAGGGAGTTTCATCACATGGTAAGCTCATTGAAACAAGAGTGCACAGTACAAACTGGAAATAGGAGACTATGCCCATGTAGTTATTACCAGCTTAACTCTTCATGAAATATTTGAAGTTTTAGTTATCAATTCTTCTGTTTACAGCTTATCCCACTGTGAGGACAATACAGACAACACAGCAGGTGGGAAATCTTCAACGAATTGTCAATACTGCACAACCACGACACATCATTGGCACCACCCAGCAGCAAGTCATTCATCATCAGCCAACAATGGTTGGAAACACGCAACTAATCCGTGGTGCTCAGCCGTCAACAACCCGAGTCACTCAGCCCCAAGTTATCCAGATGACGCAGCTACAGGCTGGAGATAACAAGGTTAGAGTTGAGCCTTGTACATTGTTTTGCAGTCAAGTGTGATGTGGGTCTTATTTGGGTATAGCAAGAACATAGACAGAAGAACATCCCCCCATTGAGCATTTTTATGATGAAATTGCAGGTTATTCACCCCTGTATTGTGGGTAAAAGGTATACTGTAGTCTGCATACGAGCCAAGTGGCCCATCAGGCTGTAGCTTATCCCGGTTTCTATAACATGACACAACTAGGAATATTTCTACTCCCCCTGGATGCCAGTCAATTGCAGTGTTACCCCAACATTTAATTCTGTGGTACCCATTTACATGTAAACATGTACACCTGGGTGGAGAGATGCACTGTGAGAGTAAACTGTCTTGCTCAAGAATGCAATTGTTATTGCAGGCTCCAGGAATTCAAGTTATTCAAGTGGATGGAGCAAATGATAGTGACAGTGAAGACGATGATGATGACGATGAAGATGACTTGGAAGACGACAAAAAAGACAAATCTCAAGAAGGACTGGATGACGCAGACTTAGATGTCAGTAATGTACAGTCTTTGTCAAATTACAATTGCAATGACTTGCCTTCACTGTTAGGGGAGTTCTTACTAATCAGTCAGGTGTTACATCGGTCTGTCCCATGAACCTAGATGTATGCATTTGTTAAACAGTATTCACATTATGCTCTTTTGTTATAGGAAGAAGATCCTCTCAACTCAGATGATGATGTTTCCGATGACGACCCTGCTGACCTTTTTGATACAGATAATGTTGTTGTATGTCAGTTTGACAAGGTACGTGTGTCTAATGGTTTGTTTGACTAGGTATATGAGTTTCAACTTGACACTGGGTGAAACTACATGTATATACATTTGTATGGCTAGTATGCTCATTTACAATGTAGTGATGGTTTGACAGTGTTGAATTGTGTATACTTGTTAAGAAAGTTGCTCATCGCATTTAAAATCAAAACAGAAAAGCTTGTGGTATGTCACAGGAAATAGCTGACAAGTACAAAATGTAAATTTTAAAGTTAATGTCTATCATGGATTAACTGCTTGATTTGTTTTTCTTTAGATTACTCGTACCAGAAATAAGTGGAAGTTCCATTTGAAGGACGGAATAATGAACCTTAGAGGAAGAGACTATGTGTTTCAAAAAGCAACAGGCGATGCAGAATGGTAGCCAAGATGCTACAAAATAAATATTATTGTAAAAAGAATCGTAAAGTGTAAAAAAATAACAGGGAGCCAAAGAATTTAAAGATTCACACATGAAAACTTCAGCATTCAATAATATTGTCTATTATGCATGCATGCTTTAATTGATGTTGCTCCAATTACAAGTGATCTACATAAATATGTAAAACCCATCCCCAACCCAAAATAATAGCCTTAAATTCCTGACAATTTAGGCGAAAGCAATTTTCACTTTTACAGATGAAATGACATTCAATACTGCAATTTTTGGGAAGAAAGTAACTTGCCACAAAGGGTGGACAATAAGTGATGGAATGAAACTGATGATAATTAGTATGAATACAGGACATGTAAGTCTCAAATAGTTATTTTATGTCATGTTCGGGATAAAACTTAAATAAACATCAAAATCGTTATCCTCTCTCCATTATGGAAAACAAATGAAGTTGTATTTAAATATAAGTTAAAAAAGGAAATTTCAATTTCTTACAGTAATTACTGTACGCGTAGAAAGAATTCCTCAAATTCAAACTTTTTTTTTTTAGCTTTCATGGAATTCTTCACGGAAACTCATGGAAGTTTTATAATTCTTTCCAGGGCCCAAGGAGACGAGTTCCTGAAAAATAAGGGTCTAAAGCTGCTTTTTAGGGGGGGGCTTTTAACTCCATCCGCAAACACTCCTCAAACCTTTGAACCCCAACCTTGCTGGTGTGGGTTGCAAGAGATGTGACATCCTTGTATCTTGTAAGGGTCTGGGGTGCATTTAGAGGGGGGTATGGTCGGATCCCCTAAATTAAGAAAAAAATCGTGAGACATAACACGACCACTTGGCCCCAGAATGCCAGAAATCCCATAGCCGATGACCTCAATTTAAAATTTTTCTAGGGGAGGACACTACTGGAACTCCCCTACAGGGGACCGCCTTTGGCTGTCCATATTTCAAACCCCCTTATCTAAAATCCTGTATCCGCTCTGCATGTAGACTGGTGTCCTGCAAGCAGACACGAAGCTGTGAAGAGAATGCTATTTAGCAGAGCTTAATGCTGTTATTTAGCTCTACATTGATTTAACTTTTGAATGTGTAGATGAAACCCAACTGTAAATGACAACTACATGTATTACTTAGTCCAGGTTGCTACAGTCTGGGAAAAGTCAAGAAAAAATCACAATTTTTTCAATGTCAGGGGATTTCTACCTATTTAAAATCAGTGAAAAGTAAGTGAAATAAATCTTCACGTTGTGTAGACAAGGCAATTTTACTCTGAAAAATTATCTATAAACCATCTTTAATTTGGGTGATCATGGCTGGAATAATAATCCTGTATGGTCAGTGAAAATTGCTTCACAGTCTGAAAAGTAAGCGGGGAGTTTCATTTATTCCTGTGGGTGGCAACCAGGAGAGCAATTTTTAACAGGACAACGTACATGTCTGTTCTGCAGCACGTAACCTTGCAAATGTGAGTTCTTGAGCAGTACGTACATTTAGTGATACAATGTATCTGGTACTAACACTTGTTAGGAGAGTTGCAGATGGTATTAGACAAGGAGAGCAAGAGGGTTAGAAAAAAGTGAAAGACTATTTACGTAGGTGTACAGTACCAAGTACCTTTGCTTGGACACAACCCTCGACCCTTCCTTACTGCAAGACTAAAGTTGTTAATTTATGTCAATTAAGCAAACATTAAACTTGACGTAAATACTCTAGCGCTTTAGTATTCTAGCAATGTAGCAGGCGGCAGGTCCTTAAACCATCCCAATAGTGCACCAAAAACCACCCAAATAAAAGAAAAAAGTAGAACAATAGGCTCTGGTACATAGCGAGAAACAGTCTGCATGCAAATGAAAGTCATCACCTTGTACTCAGTTGAGTTCTGTCGTAGATTTCTCGTTTATGAGACGTGAGCTACTCTGGACCTATGTTACAGCTGTAGGGCGGAATATAACCAGAAGAGTTTGGGGAAGGGTAGGGGTAAGGGTCTCGGCATCCTATACATATGCGGCATCTAATAACGTTTTTCTTAGTACCTTGCTAGTTTTTGTCTTTCCATCAAGACAGTCTACTCTCGCCTGGGACTTTATCTCTCGATATTAGAATCCCATCTCTTTCAGGGGTTAAAAAGAGGATGATGTCAAACAACAGCCATTTAAGTCTAATATGGCCGCCATCTTGAAACGAAGTCTAACGTTTTCGGTCTAATAACTTTTTATGTCGGAGCTTGGTAGTTTTTTGTGGATATCAAGATATAAAACTTTCACTTAAAACTTCATCTCTCGATGGTAGAATCTCATCTCTTCAACGGGTGAAAAAGAGAATGGCGTCAAACATCGGCCATGTTACTCTAATATGGCCGCCATTTTAAAACTAAGTCCAACATCTCAGGTCAGACAACGTATTTCTAAGTACCTTGCTAGTCTTTGTCTTAATATGAAGACAGTCTACTCTTGCCAGGGACTTTGTCTCTCGATATTAGAATCCCGTCTCTTTTAGGGTCATTTGTGACCAAGGAGGAATTCCTGACTTGTCTTCCAAACCATCACTGCTACCAGCGTCGCCGTCATATCGCTCTAACAACTCCGCCTCTTTCGCCTCCATTTCAATCTGAAACTTCATCTCACCAGCCTTGATTTTATTTTTTGAATTCCAATTCAATTTTTTGTTTAAAGTGAAAGCTTTATATCTTGATGTCCACAAAAAAAATACCAAGCTCCGACATAAAAAGTTATTAGGGAGTTTAAGTAACGACGACGGCGACGCCGAGGAAACGTCGATCAAAAAATGATTTTATATATTATATCTACGAATCTCGCGGTACTATAAAGTTATTTACTTTGTTTATCACTGGCAAAACTTTCACGAAACTGAAGCTGGGACATAGCGATAACCTTGAAATAGAAATTTAAAAAATTAGCAATCGTGGTTCACGTTCTTCAGAAAACGCAGAATTTGGTCATTTCACGTTGTTGTTTTGCCCAGGACGGTAAAGAAATGTACGAAGAATTATAACGCTCGTGCACAGCCATTGTTCTCCTCATTAAATCTTTTGTTTAGCGACGTTCCCGTTGCCGTTTCCATCGTGGTTTTCTTAAACTTCCTATCATGATCAGACTGAAAACGTTTCAAGATGGCGGCTATATTAGACTTACATATCGTTTTAAAATGGCGGCCATATTAGAGTAACATGGCCGATGTTTGACATCATTCTCTTTTTCACCCGTTAAAGAGATGAGATTCTACCATCGAGAGATGACGTTTTAACTGAAAGTTTTCTATCTTGATATCCACAAAAAAATTACCTATTGATTGCTATTAATCCCAAATCAAACGTTTAAAACAATAAAGCTCTTTAAGTGCTTGCTTAACGAAAGAGGTTTTTCATCAACTCGGCCTTTGGGGTTGACTGATTATGAGAAATAATGCTTACATGGAAGTAACACTAGCTGGGTTCTTAGGCAAATGGTTAACACCCACCCATGAACACAAGACCAAACTTCTATTTATTGAAAGGATCATTTATTGTTTCATTAAATTTTACAAATTACCTAAATAGTCTAAATAATCATTGTACAATATTAATTTAATCATGAGTTCCAGCCACACATTTTAACACTTAATTATATTAAATTATTTGTTCAGTTTGGCAGTTTAAGCCCAAGCCCATATCAATGATTTGGATGCATTGCATATTCATTGTATTATGATGAAAAAAGTCAGCTGGAAATAACACAACTATTTTTGTTGTACTCTACAAGGATTCTATTAAGCGATAAACAAGTAGAAAAGGGGCCATGTCACCAAAGAAGTACAACTTGCTAAAGGGATGTCCGAAAGCGACCGAACGTCGATCGGAAATCTTCGTTTGACTTCGTGTCTACTTTCTCCGAGGCAAAAAGGTATACGCTAAATGTAGCAAACTTACACGTTTCTTCACTGCCACAGTGCTAGTGCCAATCTTGGAATCACGAGCACTGCCACTCGAGTCCATCAGTTTTCTTTCATATTTTAACCTATCGCCTTCAGTTTACACCGATAACAAGCACAGTATTGACATAGCCCCAGCCTTAATAATACTGTCTTCGCAAACAAATCATAATGAAACGGTATTTTGTGCTTAATTGATTCACTTCATTAGAGATAATTTCGTTATGACTTGAATTCAAATTAATTTGATTAAATGTAATAAATTCAAAGCGGACGAACGTCTCTCCAATAATATTCTTCTCTTAAACCTATACTTTACTCTCCCCAGAGAGGGTCGTCATATAATCCCGAATAACAATTAAACAATATTGGTTATTGACTCTCGTCAGCGAGATTAAAAACTACAAAGCATTTTGCATTAAACGTTATCACCAAATGATTATTAACGACGACGGAATTGAGTGCAAATCAAAGAATATTGAGGGATTATTTGAAAATATTAATTATAAGAAGAAAGAACTAATTAATTTATGTGGCTATCGACAGCCAGCATAACGCATTCCACTGTGTTGTCCGAGAATGTCCATTAAAGCTGTAGCATAAGCCATTACAATGGTTTTAAACGTGTTAGCTGTCAGCTTTGTCATGTCAGTTGAAACTCGTCTAGCCTGTCAATGGAAGTCACAAGTGTGTTAGTATTAAACTGCATTTATAAAATACAGTCGTTGTTTGCAATGCTTATTGCATTTGCACTAACCTTTTTTGTATTACTAGTATATTATTTCTTTCTCAAAAACCGATCGCATGAAAGCGCGATTTAATCAACAAGTATGATTTCTCAGGGCAATTAATCAAACAATATTATACATCTTTTACTCTCTTTCTCTATAAAACCCTGAGGAAAAAATGATCTTCTAACACCGTATCAGTTTCTTCATCTCTGAGTCAAATCGACGTCTGAGATTTAAACCTAAAGCCTACGTAATACACTGGGGATCCAGATCACTTTATATGGTGGGGCCCCAAATTTTTTCCGCCCCTTCGAGCCTTAAAATTAAGGTGGGAAGGTAAACCCCTCCCTGTGTATATCTAATTGGATCCGCCACTGTAGTAATGACATAGATGTCACGTTTCTCTGATAAGTAAGAAAAAATAAGCAGAGACACTAATGACCACTAGTCGCAATGAAATTTTTGGACCGAACGGTTGATCATCACTACAGCTTCAATTTTAGAACATTAGTTTCAGCATGTGTTGATACATGTCTTTTTTTATCTTCAAAAGCTTTCGCACTGCGTCTGCGGGTAATGTTAACACCTTTTTCATTAAAAATTGAAGCTGATAAGTTTGATAAAGGCACATTAAACACGGTTGTGTTAGCCCTTTGTGGGAGTGAAAGGGGTAAGGGAATAGCGCTCGAAAAGTCATCTTTTCAAGCCCCCACAGTGGCTAATTAACCTTTTTGATTCTTGATCATAATTTTTAAGAGGAAGCATAGTTTTGACCCTGTGGTCTGTTATCAAAAAAGAAATCAAATTTCAATCCGAAATTAAAATATTAGCTAAGTTATCTTTGGAAAAAAAATGGCTTTGACAGTCAGGGCAATCAACTCCCTTAGCACTCACTCTGCCCGTGGTCGTCATCATCAAGTGCTTGCACTGGTGGGGGAGTGGGCCTGTCAAAAATGCTGGATATATCTTCGGGGAATTGTTCTACCTCCCTGCGAGTCTGGTACAAAGGATTAAAGAAACCGGGAGCCTGGTTATCTTCAGGCTCCTGGACAACAGGTTTATCCGGTTTCTGGGGGGTGTCGTAGATTGGTGCCTTCGTCTCCTTGGCATCTGGTTTACCCGGTTTGATTGGAACAGAGTAGAGCGCACTTTCGTCTTGCTTTGCTTCAGATTTCTTCTTTTCCTGGAGAAAGGGCAAGATATTGCGTAAGACATTTATAATTTTAGTCACGACGTTGTTATGAAGTTAGCACATCTTTGAAAAGGGAACTAAAAACAACGACAAAAACTAAGTAAATTTAAAATCTTCCAAATCTCCTTACAGCGATTGAGAAAGAATTTCAAAATTGATTCAAATAAGAATCCGCTCAGTGCCATAATTGCATTCATTCATTCTGTCGTTGTTTCGAAGACTTCATTTGACAGGCTCAACGGGCTTCATTGTTTCTTATTTGAGAAACATCGGATGCTTTTCTCCCTCTTTGGTCACTCGAGAGATCTTTTCCCATTATCGGATCCCGGAAAATCGTCTACAAGAAGGCATGAATGTTGACTGGGTAAATACTTTCGGAGTTTCGGAAATCATTGCAGAAACCTGTTCCTTTCCTGGGGAATTTGATTGTTTAATTTTCAATAAACAATTTTATCACTAGTTTCAAGGACACGTTTTCAACAGACGAGATAAGTGCAACGGAGAGTCCAAGTGGCGTCTTAACAAATTCTCCGAACTAACATTTAAACAAATAAAGGACGATCAGAAATTAAGACTAGTGTATCACTCGAGGAGAACAGTTTAGCCTAGTTCACACTAGCGACAAAACGATATAAGAGGGACGTTGTGCTGTTATGTCATTATGTCGTTTAGTCGCTACTGTGAACCAGGCTTTACTCATTAACATCTAAATCCTCACCTCTCTGTAGGACGTAAACATGGGATTGGCGAACCCGGTAGACTTAGGGGCCTCTTCTTCTTCATCATCTTTACCCTCACCTATTTGCTGGTTTTCTGGGGTTATGCTAGCGCGGTACATTGGATTATTAAAACCACGTGCGGATTCTGAACGTTTCACTGTCGGCTGCCCTGCGTCAGGCTCCAGGTAGAGCGGGTTGTCCACCATGTGAAGTTGCGAAACCACCTCCTCCTCCGCGTTGCCGTATATGGGATTGACAGTTCCAGGTTCGTCTCCTAGCTGTTGATTGGCCATGTGATGTCGGTACATGGTGTCAGTGTAGCTGTCATCACTTTCTCTATGGCGCTCCTGTGTGATACATTTGCGCTGCTTCTCGCTTAGAGTATTTCGTCGGCATAGTATGACCCCTGTAATTATGACAATCAACAGGAGCCCCCCGATGCCGCCGACGACATAATACAACCGCATGCGCGTTGAGTGCTTCTGGTTTTTAAGAAGCGCGTCTTTGGGTTCTTTAACAACGCAAGATGGTATACCCAGATAGTCAACTTTGTTGGCCGTTGACTGGCACAGTTTATAGTTAAAGTCATCAGTTCCTGCGTCCGATGTAAATCCATTAGCGATGCACGTGTTGTTCATACCGCACAAAATAATATCCGGAGGAACTGGGAGGAATTTATTCTTTTCATCCGAATACACAAGCACAATAAAATCCACCGGTGAAGATTTCTCTTCCTCTGCACTTCTCTTGACTTTGGCTTCGTGTTCCATACTTGGACTGACGATAAAAACATCATTAACATTAACCATCGTGGAATCATCTTCATCGTCTGTTATTTGCCCGAGCAGTAATGGATCAAGTCCTACTATCCACTCTTCAAGCCGATATTGCCAATGTGGACTGGAGATGTTCTCGCCTTCAGGGAACTCCAAAGAGATAATGAAATCGTTCGGAATACATTGCGTTGAATTGTACTTTCTGATGTTTGGTGGTATACAAATTTCTTGTTCTTCGCATGTTTTTTTCTTGCATTCCTCGGACTTCCGTTGACATTGAGGTCCAAAATATCCAGGCTCACAGTCGCAAGTGAAGGTGTTAATTCCATCCACACAAGTTCCCTCAGCGCAGGGCTCTTTCTCGCAGTCATCTATGTTCGTTTCGCATTGGTTTCCTGTATAACCGACTGAGCAATAGCATCTGTATTTGTTTAAGAGGGGGTCGCAAGTTGAGTCGTGTTGACAAGGGTTTGAAAGGCAATAATTGATGAACGTACAGTCCGAGCCGTTGTGATATCCACTGGGGCAGGTGCAGTTGTAATAATTCACGTAATCATGGCACGTACCGCCGTGGCTGCACGGATTCGGATCACACTCGTCTATTTCAGTGCAGTTAAGGCCGTCACGCTTGAACCCTTTGTTGCAAGGGCACGTGTAATTCTGCCAATCAACGCGACTGCACGTGGAATCCGGGGGACACGAGGACCACGCGCAGGGGTCAACCTTGGTCACGTGAATGTTAACCGTGCCGTTAAACGCTTCCGGGGGATCTCCGTTGTCTTCGGCTTCTATCAAAATTTGATAGCCTCGAATGACGTAATCATTGTAACTGAGGTGTGACTTGACTGTCAGGTATGGCTTTTTACTGTCTCCTTGACTGACACCAGAAGAATTATCCCTGCATTTATTATCTAAGGAGAACGTATCTCGGTAATTGAGAAGCGTATAATGCACTCTTTGTGAGCGCTCGGGGTTTGTGGACGTCACCTGGGCCAGGCAGTAACCAATGGACACATTTTCAGGTACAGTGACGTTTTCGGGTATTAGTCTGATGTCATGGGGTGCCTCGTTAACGTCCAGAACGTTGATTGTGATGTCACTAGTGACGTCAAGTGAAGGTCCTGTTCCCTCGGGAGGCTGGTCTGTGGCTTGAATAGTAACTGTGAGGATTGCAGGCGGGTGAAGGTTCTCGTAGTTCAGGTATGATGGGTCTTTTACGACAAGGTAGTTGTCGCTGTTTACCTGAATGAAATGAAACGCATCAATTAGACGTCAATTTGAAACTTCAAGCTGCCGGTAGTTTTGGAAGCAAGACGGCACCTTTCTTCTCACAAATTTCATCAAACACCTTGACGATCGTCAAAAATACTCCACCGGGCGTCGTATTTTCAACTTTCTTCTCGGTGTTTGGAAATGTGCTAAAACACGGTCTTTCGTGTTTTATATATTACTTCCCAATACAACACGAGAAGATATGAAATGTTGGGTTACAATTCCATGCGAGTCCAAATTCAGGAACTGAGGCGATAAGACAGACAGACAGACAGACAGACGAAGAGACATCTAAGGACTGATTAAAGCACTTAAACCTCCTATCAGTCATAACCATACCCTCTCTGTTTTAAAGTAAGGTCTAACAGGGCTGTAGCCAGGAAAAAATTATGACTGAGGCAATGTCCATGGTTAAATTCTCTTCCTAGGTATTTAGCAGGGTTTTACTTTCCCCCTTTAAAAAGAAAAAAAAAAGTAGCCTCTTACTGGTTACTGCCCTGATTAAAGCTACTGTAAGTAGTAAAGAAAGTTATCATCAATAGACAATTCAGCAAGTTGAAAATTTCTCATTCTATTCTACGGTTCTATCGTGGTACAACCAACAGACATTCTTTCAGTTGTATTTTTTAACGTAATTGAGGTGGATGTACAATGGCTATGTTACCTGGAAGACAGAGGAGTAATTTCCAATGACAATGAACGTGTGATTTTGTCCTATATCCGGGTCCTTACAAGTGAGGAATCCTATGACGTAACCCACGCGTACGTTTTCCTCCACTACAGTGGAGCCGTTCAAACGAATGTCAAAAGGAGCTTCATTCACGTCTGACAGCTGAACGCTGAAGTTTCTTTGCACGGAATATGGCGGACTACCGTTGTCTTCGCATTTGACTGCAACTGTTATTTGGAAAAAAATTAGAAAAAACTTCACATTTTGCCTCAGAGGCGAGTAATGTGCTTTAAACTTTTTAGCCCATGGATGAAATACTTACGTTTTACCATTAAAATGAAAGTTATTGAGCAGTATTTCCCCATAGTAAGCGGCCTCAAACACCCCCCTGAGGTGTTAGAAGGATTGTGATGATGATGATAATAATAATGATTTCCCCATAGTATTATAGTGTTTTTTAGTATTTTTCTAGAATGAAAATCTGGTTTGCAGAAAGATATAGAGGTACACAGCTAACAAAACATAACAGTCATTGGCTTACCTTGTATTGGAGTGCTCAGATGACTTTCGTAGTTTAAGACTACGCCTTGTTTCAGGCGAATCTCCGATGACGACTTCGACACTGAACTTATGTAAAAGTAATTTCCTCCCTCAAGAAGTTCGCAGTTGTGTTGTTGCGATATGTCCTGATCAACCACACTTAAGTTCGCCAGCGAAGTTCCACTCGGGCTGTTCTCGGGTAGTACGACACTGAACGAAGTGTTGTCGGGTGCCGACAGAGATGAGCTGAAGGTTATGTCCGACGGCACATCGTTGCTATCGAGGACCATTACAGACAAAACATCCTAACAGTGAAATCAAAGAGTTGACTTGTTAATAGTGAGTTCGATAAGTAACAAAACTGGGTCAATATGTTGTCGAGATTTAAGGAATAGAACACAATTTTTCTCTTTCCATCTCGAGTTATAATAACACGAATGGAAATTTGGAAGAACGAGAAATTAAAATGCTGAGGGAATATATAGAAACTGTTTCCTTTTGCTTTTACGGACAACACTGAGAGAAAAAGAATGAAAAAATCCTTCGTTTGTATTCCTTTTAAAAAAAAGAGATGAGTGAATTTTTGGCACTAACCAGCACTGGTGTTCGTCACAATATTGAGTTCTGGTTCTACAGTGACTCTGTCAAGCACTAAGCATGTGAGTTTTCTTGTTAAGGTTACATTGTAACGCTAAGACAAACCTGTACTGAGTATCGAGGGGATCCGTTGTCAGTAGCATTAATGGTCACGTTGATAACCGGCGTAGCCTCGTAATTCAGTGGCACGTTGCTATGCTGCAGCTGGTTTCCATCGACAGTGAACGCATCTGTAACTAAACAAATAAAGGATTATTAGACTCACCTTGGCCTTCTAACGGTAGTTGAAATCCAATAACTCGGTCTGGGGCGTGGTGACAAGACAAGCTCAAGCGTCGCACGATGTGTGATGGTGTATTTTGAAAGCAAAACAACAACAAGCTGGCTTCAGTAGGAAAGAAAGTCACACTGTGGTGACAAAAATGACAAAACAAGATCTGAACATACCTTGACTAGAAATGACCTGGAAGTGATGCGATTGATTTGCATCTTCATCTTGAGCCTGCAGTACACCTACAACCGCACCGGCAGTTGCGTTTTCGTAGATTCCTTTAGACACCAGACTGATNCGGTACATGGTGTCAGTGTAGCTGTCATCACTTTCTCTATGGCGCTCCTGTGTGATACATTTGCGCTGCTTCTCGCTTAGAGTATTTCGTCGGCATAGTATGACCCCTGTAATTATGACAATCAACAGGAGCCCCCCGATGCCGCCGACGACATAATACAACCGCATGCGCGTTGAGTGCTTCTGGTTTTTAAGAAGCGCGTCTTTGGGTTCTTTAACAACGCAAGATGGTATACCCAGATAGACAACTTTGTTGGCCGTTGACTTGCACAGTTTATAGTTAAAGTCATCAGTTCCTGCGTCCGATGTAAATCCATTAGCGATGCACGTGTTGTTCATACCGCACAAAATAATATCCGGAGGAACTGGGAGGAATTTATTCTTTTCATCCGAATACACAAGCACAATAAAATCCACCGGTGAAGATTTCTCTTCCTCTGCACTTCTCTTGACTTTGGCTTCGTGTTCCATACTTGGACTGACGATAAAAACATCATTAACATTAACCATCGTGGAATCATCTTCATCGTCTGTTATTTGCCCGAGCAGTAATGGATCAAGTCCTACTATCCACTCTTCAAGCCGATATTGCCAATGTGGACTGGAGATGTTCTCGCCTTCAGGGAACTCCAAAGAGATAATGAAATCGTTCGGAATACATTGCGTTGAATTGTACTTTCTGATGTTTGGTGGTATACAAATTTCTTGTTCTTCGCATGTTTTTTTCTTGCATTCCTCGGACTTCCGTTGACATTGAGGTCCAAAATATCCAGGCTCACAGTCGCAAGTGAAGGTGTTAATTCCATCCACACAAGTTCCCTCAGCGCAGGGCTCTTTCTCGCAGTCATCTATGTTCGTTTCGCATTGGTTTCCTGTATAACCGACTGAGCAATAGCATCTGTATTTGTTTAAGAGGGGGTCGCAAGTTGAGTCGTGTTGACAAGGGTTTGAAAGGCAATAATTGATGAACGTACAGTCCGAGCCGTTGTGATATCCACTGGGGCAGGTGCAGTTGTAATAATTCACGTAATCATGGCACGTACCGCCGTGGCTGCACGGATTCGGATCACACTCGTCTATTTCAGTGCAGTTAAGGCCGTCACGCTTGAACCCTTTGTTGCAAGGGCACGTGTAATTCTGCCAATCAACGCGACTGCACGTGGAATCCGGGGGACACGAGGACCACGCGCAGGGGTCAACCTTGGTCACGTGAATGTTAACCGTGCCGTTAAACGCTTCCGGGGGATCTCCGTTGTCTTCGGCTTCTATCAAAATTTGATAGCCTCGAATGACGTAATCATTGTAACTGAGGTGTGACTTGACTGTCAGGTATGGCTTTTTACTGTCTCCTTGACTGACACCAGAAGAATTATCCCTGCATTTATTATCTAAGGAGAACGTATCTCGGTAATTGAGAAGCGTATAATGCACTCTTTGTGAGCGCTCGGGGTTTGTGGACGTCACCTGGGCCAGGCAGTAACCAATGGACACATTTTCAGGTACAGTGACGTTTTCGGGTATTAGTCTGATGTCATGGGGTGCCTCGTTAACGTCCAGAACGTTGATTGTGATGTCACTAGTGACGTCAAGTGAAGGTCCTGTTCCCTCGGGAGGCTGGTCTGTGGCTTGAATAGTAACTGTGAGGATTGCAGGCGGGTGAAGGTTCTCGTAGTTCAGGTATGATGGGTCTTTTACGACAAGGTAGTTGTCGCTGTTTACCTGAATGAAATGAAACGCATCAATTAGACGTCAATTTGAAACTTCAAGCTGCCGGTAGTTTTGGAAGCAAGACGGCACCTTTCTTCTCACAAATTTCATCAAACACCTTGACGATCGTCAAAAATACTCCACCGGGCGTCGTATTTTCAACTTTCTTCTCGGTGTTTGGAAATGTGCTAAAACACGGTCTTTCGTGTTTTATATATTACTTCCCAATACAACACGAGAAGATATGAAATGTTGGGTTACAATTCCATGCGAGTCCAAATTCAGGAACTGAGGCGATAAGACAGACAGACAGACAGACAGACGAAGAGACATCTAAGGACTGATTAAAGCACTTAAACCTCCTATCAGTCATAACCATACCCTCTCTGTTTTAAAGTAAGGTCTAACAGGGCTGTAGCCAGGAAAAAATTATGACTGAGGCAATGTCCATGGTTAAATTCTCTTCCTAGGTATTTAGCAGGGTTTTACTTTCCCCCTTTAAAAAGAAAAAAAAAAGTAGCCTCTTACTGGTTACTGCCCTGATTAAAGCTACTGTAAGTAGTAAAGAAAGTTATCATCAATAGACAATTCAGCAAGTTGAAAATTTCTCATTCTATTCTACGGTTCTATCGTGGTACAACCAACAGACATTCTTTCAGTTGTATTTTTTAACGTAATTGAGGTGGATGTACAATGGCTATGTTACCTGGAAGACAGAGGAGTAATTTCCAATGACAATGAACGTGTGATTTTGTCCTATATCCGGGTCCTTACAAGTGAGGAATCCTATGACGTAACCCACGCGTACGTTTTCCTCCACTACAGTGGAGCCGTTCAAACGAATGTCAAAAGGAGCTTCATTCACGTCTGACAGCTGAACGCTGAAGTTTCTTTGCACGGAATATGGCGGACTACCGTTGTCTTCGCATTTGACTGCAACTGTTATTTGGAAAAAAATTAGAAAAAACTTCACATTTTGCCTCAGAGGCGAGTAATGTGCTTTAAACTTTTTAGCCCATGGATGAAATACTTACGTTTTACCATTAAAATGAAAGTTATTGAGCAGTATTTCCCCATAGTAAGCGGCCTCAAACACCCCCCTGAGGTGTTAGAAGGATTGTGATGATGATGATAATAATAATGATTTCCCCATAGTATTATAGTGTTTTTTAGTATTTTTCTAGAATGAAAATCTGGTTTGCAGAAAGATATAGAGGTACACAGCTAACAAAACATAACAGTCATTGGCTTACCTTGTATTGGAGTGCTCAGATGACTTTCGTAGTTTAAGACTACGCCTTGTTTCAGGCGAATCTCCGATGACGACTTCGACACTGAACTTATGTAAAAGTAATTTCCTCCCTCAAGAAGTTCGCAGTTGTGTTGTTGCGATATGTCCTGATCAACCACACTTAAGTTCGCCAGCGAAGTTCCACTCGGGCTGTTCTCGGGTAGTACGACACTGAACGAAGTGTTGTCGGGTGCCGACAGAGATGAGCTGAAGGTTATGTCCGACGGCACATCGTTGCTATCGAGGACCATTACAGACAAAACATCCTAACAGTGAAATCAAAGAGTTGACTTGTTAATAGTGAGTTCGATAAGTAACAAAACTGGGTCAATATGTTGTCGAGATTTAAGGAATAGAACACAATTTTTCTCTTTCCATCTCGAGTTATAATAACACGAATGGAAATTTGGAAGAACGAGAAATTAAAATGCTGAGGGAATATATAGAAACTGTTTCCTTTTGCTTTTACGGACAACACTGAGAGAAAAAGAATGAAAAAATCCTTCGTTTGTATTCCTTTTAAAAAAAAGAGATGAGTGAATTTTTGGCACTAACCAGCACTGGTGTTCGTCACAATATTGAGTTCTGGTTCTACAGTGACTCTGTCAAGCACTAAGCATGTGAGTTTTCTTGTTAAGGTTACATTGTAACGCTAAGACAAACCTGTACTGAGTATCGAGGGGATCCGTTGTCAGTAGCATTAATGGTCACGTTGATAACCGGCGTAGCCTCGTAATTCAGTGGCACGTTGCTATGCTGCAGCTGGTTTCCATCGACAGTGAACGCATCTGTAACTAAACAAATAAAGGATTATTAGACTCACCTTGGCCTTCTAACGGTAGTTGAAATCCAATAACTCGGTCTGGGGCGTGGTGACAAGACAAGCTCAAGCGTCGCACGATGTGTGATGGTGTATTTTGAAAGCAAAACAACAACAAGCTGGCTTCAGTAGGAAAGAAAGTCACACTGTGGTGACAAAAATGACAAAACAAGATCTGAACATACCTTGACTAGAAATGACCTGGAAGTGATGCGATTGATTTGCATCTTCATCTTGAGCCTGCAGTACACCTACAACCGCACCGGCAGTTGCGTTTTCGTAGATTCCTTTAGACACCAGACTGATGGAAGTAGGTGGGTCATTTACGTCAATCACCTGCAGCGAAATGATTCTCAAATTAAGCCCTTGTTCTTGGCTATTTTTCGGTCTGAAATTCCACATCTTTCACGAATTTTAAGACAACTAAATAAGACAACTAGACAACTTTAAATGCCTCTTTCTAGTCATTCTCCTCTTAATTTTAGTTGTTGTACTCCAAAGTTCCGAAAAAGAGCTGATCACTAAGTGGTGTAATAAATCTTACTTAGCTTACTTGTGATTGTACTAGGAGAATATCGGCCCTTGGCCTCTTCAGTTGTAAGGACCTCGCTACACCCGGGAGGCGATTGCACAGTTTGACCCTCGATATCGGTAACATGGTATATAAACCTTACTGTGTAATAATCTGTTCCATTTCAAAGCACCTACTAAGGATACATTACGAGACTGAGAAAATCTTTAAACATTGTTTTTACCTCTATCGTGACAGTGAGACTGGTGCTGAGAGGTGGGTTACCGCTGTCCGTTGCAACGATTGTCACGTTGTACGAGCTTTGTGTCTCAAAGTCAAGCGATCTGGTCGCTAGCAGGGAATCGCCAATCAACTTAAGTGCGTCGGAGTCCGGTGACTGGTCTTTGATTGCAAGTGATACATTGGCTTGTCCGCTGGCCTGTAAAAAAAAAAGTTGTTTAGAACGATGAAGTGAGGGAATATTTTAATGAAATACAAAACAAGAATTAAATGAAAAGAGTCGGGAAAAAAAGTCAAAGGTTAATAATTCGCTAAAACAAGGCCGTTCCTTTTAGTAAATTTGAGTATAGGCTAATTCTGATATATTAAAATTCTAACTTGATTCCGAAGATAAGGGAAAGAAAACAAAAGANAAAGTGCTAAAAACTGAATTTTTCGAAAGATTTTCAAACCAAACTTGAAAATTCGAGCCTCACGTTATTATGCTCATTCATATTGTTATCCATTTCCATCTTCGTCAGTCATCCTCCCTTCCTATGGATTCATGTGAATTCTCTACTGCAGTTCTATCAAATCAAAGCATTATTGATCTGATTTAAGTTTGCTTTGTCCTAAAAATTACGCTGTAAAATCGCCAGCTCCTATTTTCAACGGTGTTTCGCTTTTCAGTCTCCAACAATACATTACCTGGTTTGCAGTCAGTGATATATTCTGCGGTTGTTCATTGGCGTTTCTCACGTTGACAACAAACGAGCCTGTCACAGAGTAAGGCGGGTAACCATTATCTGTACTGTTCACGGTCACCGTGTAGTTGGCGTACTGCTCGTAATCGAGCCCAGACTTCTGAAGGGTTATACGCCCTGAAGGCGACTCAACAGCAAAGAGACCAAGAAGATAAGATGAACTGCTGTAAACAAAAACAAAAAAGACACAACAACGCTTAGAGAATTGCAAGGGAAAAAGCTAAGATCTTCCGATGTAACTACAAAGGTACATTGCGCGCCCGCCATACCTCTGTGTGCGGTGTCCCCGGGCTACGACATCGACAATCTTGTACTGGTGCGTCTGTGCAACATCTTGATCAGCGGTGATCAAGCTCCCTATGTACTCTCCAGATAGGCTGTTTTCGTAAACACTTAAAGGAGCGCTGGCTGTAAGGTTCGTGGGCGGATCATTTCTGTCCCTGACGACTATGGTGAAATTCTTTGTCGTGCTAAGGCCTAACAAAAAATTTACAAATACGAATAATAAACTATGGTGAAAAAGCCCAATGGTAGATCCGTTCTCCGATACAATGCAACTTTAAGCACATTTTCCAAAGAAGAATGGCAAGCTCTTGTCATAAAATTTTCTCGATAACAATTACAACGCTCCTTATCCAACGCAGCTACAGCTACTCGCATCACTGTAGAATGGCATCCTCTGGAGAAACCTATATTGCGAAGTCTCAGTTTCAGGTCCTAAGCCGAGCTCATCTTACGCGGAAGTAATTTTGGTAAAGTGCTTTTCTGAGAGAACAACTAACCTTTGTTGTCCACAGATTTGATAACCAGCGTCCACGTGGCTCTAGCTTCGTAATCCAAGCTTCTTGTAGTATTGAGTGCATCATTAGCAATGACAAATGGAACGCTCCCAGAAGGATCCACGATACTATAACTAAACGTCTGTACCACGGTCTGTTCATTATCCGGGTCAGCGGTATCCAGACGTCCCACAGTGACGATCCCGGCATTCTCAGCGACCTCATTGTTGGATAGTGTGATGTCGTAGGGAGGCTCGTTAACGTCAGTGACGTCGATTTTGACAATTTTGCCGAAAGATAAAGGCGGGTTTCCACTATCGAGGCATCGAATATACACGCTATAGCTTTTCTTCTTCTCGTAGTTCAAACCACCGGTCACAATAAGAGAGTTTTCTGTCCCGTTGACCATAAAAGGATTATTGGAGGGATTTAAAACTCGGCAGGAATGATTTTGCCAGGGCCCTCTAGTTCCCTGATCGTCAGGGTCTATTACAGTTATATTGCTGACCAGTGTGCCTTTGGGGCTATTTTCTGGGACGCTTGTCGAGGACAAAACGAAACCTGTTGGTCGCTCGTTCACATCAAGCACCTGTAAACAAACAATTCGCAGCATTAGATTTCTTCACTTTTAAGATATATTAACTGCAGTTTCGTTTCTAAGTTTTAGTTGCTCTGTAATATTAGCTTAGATTTTCTGTAATGATGTCATGATCGNGGCAAATTTCCATCCACCGTTATTTATCAGGCTGTATCTATGTGTCTGGTTTGCATCTTCGTCAGTGGTCGCGAGATCACCGACATAACCATCATTTACGTTCTCGTCGATAAATGCCGTATCACCACCCGCCAAAGTAATATTACTCGGTTGGTCATTAACATCTAATATTGAGACCTGGAACGGCTGCACGTGGAATAACCCCTTGGCGTCAGTCACGCGAACCAAGATATCTTCACTGGGACTCGTCTCGAAGTTCAGCTCACCGCTGACTTGTAGCAGTGCGGTACACTTTGTTTTCACGCCTGGGATGTTGGTAATGTTGTGACACGTGACCTGTGAGCCCGCGGTGAACTTGCCATCGGCGTCGACATCTAAAGAGAACGTTAAGTTTTGCACTTCATCGTGATCCAGGGCTTGAAGTGTCCCCACCGTGTTACCTGCCGGAGTGTTTTCGTCCACCTTTGGCGCGTTGTCAGGGAAAGACTGTTGTCCCGATGCCGATGTCATTGTTGTGTTTATGGGAGCTTCGTTGACGTTTTCCACGACGATCGTAAACGTCTTGGTGACCTGTAAGAAACACGTGACCTTGTTAGGTAAAACCACGTGACTCTCTGAACGTCAAGAGAGAATCAAATTTCACGACCTTTAAAAAATATATCTATGGTCATAAGGAAAGGTCATGAGAATTAAAGAAGCGATCACACCAGACACAAATTAATATTCGCGATAGTTGAACAACTTCTCCCAACTAATACCATGACAAGAGGGTAGCGACCAGTAATGAGAATTTGTGCGTTGATAATTGACGCTCGAATTAACGAACTGACCACATTCAAACGAGGGCGAATGTTGTCAATGAGTCCACTAGCCTAAATAAGGCAAAAGCAGCTACATTTCGCTAACTTTTTTATCCCGTTAAATACTCTATAGAGTACTTTTGTCAGAAAAAAAACTTACTTTCAGAGGCACCGTTCCGTTATCAATAACCTGCGCCACAATCTTGTGAGCCTTGTTCGTCTCGTAATCTGTGTCCTTAGCCTTAAACAAATAACCCGAAGAATCAATCGCAAACCTTCCACCATCATTGTCAATCAGGGAAAACGTTAGCGTTTGGAACTTGTCCTCGTCTGTAGCAGTAAACCGACCTATTTTGGTGCTAAGTGTAGCATTCTCCTTCACTGTACGACTCGACAGTTTAAAGTCACGTGGTTGGTCATTGACGTCATTCAGGGAAATCGACATGCTTGCTTCGTTGCTCTGAGGTGGACTTCCGTTGTCGGTGACGCGCACTGTTATTGTGTAAGACGGTTGTTTCTCGTAGTTCAACTTGCAGAAAGCCCCGCCATTTTTAAGGCAGTCAACGTTGGACAAGGAAACTTTGAGTTTGTTTCCAACCACTTTAAATCTCCCGCCCGCTCCGTCGGTTAGAGTGTAAGTGTGAGTTTGGGCGCGGTCTGGATCTTGTGAAGAAAACTTTCCGACAACTGTATCTTGTGGGGCATTTTCGTCCACGAATGTGTTAGACAAAGTGAGGTTAAATGGTTTTTCGTTGACGTCTACAAAAGAGTAAACAACAAAATATTTCAATATGCGAGTAACTTCGCTCCACTTTTTTCTGGTAAGTACAATACATGGGCATGAGCTCTTAATTCAACAAATAAGTCGACATTTTACAACTACAATAGTAACAAACCCCCTTATGGATTTTCCAATGAAGTCCGCATGTGTTAGTCCAGTTTGCCTGAAGAGTTAACCTTTGTACGTCTCATATGCGTAGAGATTTAATAATTTTATAGAGTCGTAATTTGCTTTGCCACCACACTTGTTATAACGGGTTTTTTTTCAAACGTATTGAATCTAGCGTCTTGCATTTTCGCTCCAAACCCCTTGTTGACTAGATGGGTTGGACAGCTGTAAAGTTTCCGTAAATGGAACGTGTCACTTACCTACAACAGATATCTGGAAATCCGTCACAACACTAAGCTGAGGGTCACCGCTGTCCAAAGACTGCACTGTGATGTTCCATGAAGACTGGGTCTCGTAGTTCAGACTTGATGTTGAATTCAATGCGTTACCGTCGATTACGAACGGAAGTCCAGCAGTGTCACCCATGCACCTGTAGGTAAAGGACTGCCGGTCTGTTGGTTGATTTGCATTATCCGGGTCAGCGGTAGAAAGAAGTCCTGAAAATGACAACAACACAAGCAAGTTGTTGAATAAAATGAACTTTTGTTGTAGAAAAAAACCAATGACGTTAAATGGCCAAATCAAGAAAATAAACCACGATAAGTTACTATTTCAAGATTTTCAAGGTAGTATTTCTAACCTATTAGAGATGGCGGCTGATTTTCCGCTATGACGGCGCTAGACAAAGAGATTGCCGTAGGTGCCTCATTGATGTCAATCACCGTGATGGATAAAGTCGTCACAAGGGACAATGGCGGTGAGCCAGTGTCCGTACACTTCACCTCCACACTTATCACTGAAGCCACCTCGTAGTCTATGCTTGCGCTTCCTACCGCAAGGACTTTGGATTGAATCGTGAATTTCCCAATCTGGTTTCCGGCCACTTGACAGTTGTGCGTTTGCCATGTACCGCGTGATCCATAATTATCCGGGTCACTGACAGTCAGCTGACCAATCACTGTACCAGGTTGGCTGTTCTCGGTGATGTTCGCGGGCGCGAGGGTGATATTGACTGGGGCTTCGTTTACATCCAGGACGGTGATCTGGAAATCTTGCACTAAGCCAAGAGAAGGTGTGCCACTGTCATTGCTTTGCACTTTAACAGTAAAACTCTTTTGAACTTCGTAATCCAAATCTGCCGAAGACGAGACATAAAGCTTGTCGTTTTGAATCACAAATCGACCACCGGCATCGTCCAGGAGTTTATACATGTGCGACTGCGCAACGTCCTGGTCACTAGTCATCAGTTGTCCAACTAACGCACCGTTTGTGTTTTCATTCACACTTGCCGTGTAACTTCCACTAAGCGTTACATTTTCAGGCGCATCATTTTGGTCAACGATGCTAATCTTTAACTGCTTTGTAGTGAAAAGTCCTTTCTTGTCTGTCACTCGCACGGTTATGAGATACTCTTTAGAGGTTTCGTAATCCAGAGCTCCATTAACTTTCAGATCGACAGTACACCTTGTGTTCACACCAGGAATGTTAGTGATTGTCTGGCAACCCGCAGATGATGATTCTAGTGTAAACTTCCCGCCAGCGTCATCATCTAGTTTAAAAGCAATTGTCTGAACAGCATCTTGGTCCAAAGCTTGTAGCTTTCCGATCACTGTACCGGTAGCAGAGTTCTCGCGGATCTGCGCATGTCCATCGGGGAAAGTCAGCTGCCCCCCTTGAGACGTTATATTGATGCCGATTGGTGCCTCGTTCACATCCAACACTTCGATTGTAAACGATTTTTCCATCTAAAAGGAAACAAGACATCGTCATGGCGAAAGAGAAAACAGGTCAAAAGAAAAGAAGGGCATCGTGGTGGTTAAAATGATGATGATAATGATGATGAGGAGGAGTGGAGGAGGTGGAGGAGGTGGAGGCAATGATGGTCATTCGTTCCGGTCATAAGCCCAAAAAATTTAAGTCTCTTATCCTAGTTGTAAGCCTTACTAAACACCCACTATGAAAAGGTTTAAATCTACGGATTAGCGGGATGCAATGGCAGTGCGAAGGTTTTGTAGACCTAAATCACCTTCATAGATGGATTTCCATTGTCCTTTACCACCGCCCTAATGATGTGCGTAGTCTGGGTTTCATAATCGGTGTCCTTTGCTTTGTACAGCCTTCCCTGGGAATCAACTCTAAAACGACCGCTGTCATCATTCGACAATGAATACGTCAACTGTTGGCTGGTGTCCTCGTCACGTGATGTAAAGCTGTCAACGAGAGAAAAAAAAAAGAGCGAATTCGTTAGACTAAAATGAGTTTGAACACCTCCTCAAAATCCGTAGCGTTGAGAGATATTCCGGAAAATCTCACGTGTTACTTACCTGCCAATCATCGTGTTGATGTTTGCATTTTCCTTCACCTTGTTATTGGATAGTTGTAGGTCACGTGGTTTGTCATTGACATCCCGCAGGTCAATACTGAAGTCCTTCTCGAACGATAGCTGAGGCGTGCCGTCATCTGTCGTTTTGACTCGGATCACATGACTCTTTTGAGCTTCGTAGTTCAAGAGACAAGAAGAACCTCCTTGGCTCAGACATTGTTTGTTGGAAACAGCCACCTTGAAAAATGAATTGGAGTTAATATTGGTGATAGTGAATAAGCTATAGTTTAGGATTAAAACATGCAGTTATCAGTTCGAACGTCAGCGTAGTGTCAGAGCAAATCGAAAGATCGAAGAGAGGAGTGGATGTAAGAGGTTCCGCCTTTGGTGGAAAAGCAAAGCCTACCTTAAGTTTGTTTCCATCGACTTTAAATCTGCCCGAGGAGCTGTTAAGCAGTTGGTATGTGTGCTTTTGTGAGGTGTCCTGATCTAACGCCGTCAGTGTCCCAACCAGAGTGTCCTTGGCACTGTTCTCATCGACAGCAGAACTCGAGAGCTAAAAGGCAAAGATATAAGTGAAGAATCAATTGAACAGTCACAATCATTGCCGTGATACTAACAGAGTTTGTACGGCATTGGATGTTTAGTTAGACAATAGAAGGTAGAAATGGCGTCATATAACATCAAAAAATTATCCAGCGTCCATTTATTGGAGATGTGAGTATCTCACAACTGCGTTACAGTTTTCGTCAAAATAATAGCTAACTACGATAAATACACGAAAGATTAAGAGATAACACTAAACCAAACAGAATGAAGGATGGATAAGATTAAGAACGATTGGGAAAGATTTCCTTAGAATGATAAAATTTGAAAAAAAAAGTGGACAACATTTCTCAAGATGCGCCATTCTTGATGTAGGCCCTTCAAATGACGCCAAATTGTCATATTGGCCTATTAACACGTGCTCTTAACAGCGCAATGGAAGATTTCTCTATCAGAACAAACAACTCTCACTTACTGTCATTCCACTTGGATCATCATTGACGTCAATCACTTGGATGGCAAACGCTTGAGTTAGAGACAGGGCTGGCTTTCCGGTGTCCGTTGCCGTTATGCTTACCGTCCACTGAGCGCTGTTCTCGAAATCAAGCACGCGCGTGGTGACAAGAGCATTATTTTGCATTACAAAAGGTTGCGAACTGCTGAGAACTGAGAACGAAAACGTTTGGACTTGGGTGTTGACATTGTCTGGATCAGTGACATTTAGAAGTGCGACTACGGTGCCACTCTGCTGATTTTCTTGAATCTTATTGTTTGAGAGCACTATACTGGTTGGCTTCTCGTTGACGTCTTGAACAAGAACAACAAATGTCTGTTCCACTGTGAGGCCGCCTGTATCGCGACAAAGAATTTTCACGCTGAAGGAGCTAGCTTCTTCGTAATTGACGCCCGCACTACCAACGGTCAGGTTGTTGCTGCTTATTCCTGCTTTCCCATTGGCTGAATCAGTTAAACTGCACACGTGACTTTGTTGTCTGTCAGGGTCAGTGACAGTCAATTGACCAATCACCGTCCCGGATGGTTTGTTTTCTTGGACGCTGTTATTGGACAACGTTATTTTGGTTGGTCTCTCGTTAACGTCTAGAAGGTTAACAACTAACGATATCTCCACGGACTTCGGTGGATTTCCATTATCAGTCGACTTCACAGTAATTTGATAGCTCGAAGATGACTCGAAGTCAAGATTAGCGTTTTTCGATGTAAACAGCTTGTCTCCGCTAATTTCGAAATCACCTCCAGGGTTGTTAATCAAGACGTAAGTAAAACTCTGTACTTGGTCTTCGTCATCTGTAAGCAGAGTATCAATCTGAACGTTTTTGCTGTTCTCAGGAATCGACGCCGACGCACTTCCATCCAAGGTAACATTCGTGGGCGGATCATTTACGTCAATCACTGTCACATTAAACATTTCCGTGTGGAAAAGCCCTTTGTCGTCAGTCACGCGGACGATGATGTCCAAGCTTGACGCATCTTCGTAGTTTATAGCGCCGCTCACCACTAAGTCTGTGGTGCATCGGGTTCCGGTTGAAGCAAGATTCTGACAGGAAGTGTTCGGTTGAAGAGAAAATTTGCCTGCTGCATCATCGTCTAGTTTAAAAGTTAGATTCTGAACAGCATCGGTGTCTGTTGCTGTTAAAGTGCCCACCCTGGTACCGGGCTTCGAATTCTCCTGCACACTCTGCTGGTCTAGGACGATAGAGACTGGAGCCTCGTTGACATCCAACACCACAATAGAAAAGTTTTTGGTCATCTAAGAAAGCAAAAAAGGGAGTTTAGTTTATAATGCATACCATATTCCTACATGTCCTAGTTAGAAGTGGACGTATAAAATGTGGCATTTTTCTTACTCAGTTCAAAGTTCTGTTTTGAGAACCCGCAGGGTTCAGCTGTGGATAACCCTATCCACTGGATAAATTACTCTCCAGTGGATAAGTCTTGACAAAACAAACTACGCTATCCACTGGATAGTGATTTGTTCGATAAATAATATTATGTATGTTTTGAGCAACCAGGGCCAGATGTACTTTCAAACGTACTCGAGGCTCGTCTGCAAGATGACACATTTGAGTTCAAACCCCTTTTCGGACAGTGAGATACAGGCATGTACGTGTTTTTACATTTGAATTACATTGTACATTACACATTTGAATTTCAGCTTGAGAAAAAGCTTAAATTTCATAAAATTAATAGCAAAGTCACGAAGTCTGGCGTCATATTAACACACCAGTTACAATGTATTTTGCTACAACGAAACGCTCGGATATTCGAAGTAACTACAATTTTCAACAATCACTTACCGACAGCGCTGGCTGGCCATTGTCAGTAACCTTGGCAACGACGTAATGAACCGTGCTCGTTTCATAGTCTGTGGAGTTTGCCTTGTAAAGACCACCTTTGCTGTCCAGAGCAAATTTGCCACTGTCGTCATCAACCAATGAAAAACTGAGTTTTTGGCCTTTGTCTTCATCACTAGCGGATAGATTTCCGACCACGGTATTTAATGGTGCGTTCTCAGTCACCTTGTAATTGGACAATTTTAGACTACGTGGTTGATCATTGACGTCATTCAAAACGATGTTAAATGAAGCGTTGACCGATTGGGATGGAGAACCGCTGTCAACACTACGGACTTTTATAGAGTAAGAGGATACGCTTTCATAGTTGAGTAGGCACTGGGAGCCACCGTTTAGTAAGCAATTCTTGTTGGACTTTGCAACCTGCAAAAACAGAAGAAAAAAGTTTTAATACCTAGCTAACACGCCAACCTTCAGAGCACTGCGCTTCCCAAACATCGTGCTTTACTATTGCTCTTTGATAAACTTTGTGATAAGTGTTTAAAACTTAAAAGGGGCTAAATAAATTGAGTGGCAGAGAAGAGAGTTTCTACAGCTCTTCACGTTGCCAATGAAAGTAAACTCGAGACCGCTAACTGATGGAAATGCAAGGTCGAGATGGCAAAACAGAAGAGAAAAGAAGAGCAGCCCATGCTTTGTTAGCCAATCAAATTCAATATTTTCAGATGCAAGACGAACGAGATGCTTTAAAATCAAACTCAGAAGAGATTTACTTCATGTTGCATTAAGGTAAAACAACAACCGTGGATCTCTGAATTCCACTGTTTGTTCTGGGGGTAAACGTAGTCATCTAATCACTGCCTGTCATTAACTTACCTTCACCAAGTTGCTTTGAATTTTAAACCTTCCACCGGCGCCATCCAGCATGCTATAACTATAAGTCTGCCCGTTATCTGGGTCAGCGGTACTGAGCATGCCCACCACTGTGTCCACGTCACTGTTCTCATCGACGTTGTTGCTTGACAACTGACAAGAAGGAAAAAAAAGAAATGATGCTATACATTTTGCTTCCAATTTAGCTAACAAGGACTAAGCCACGAATACGATGCGTAATCCTGTTGCCATAAACTACCGCGAAAAAAGGAAAGGTCGCGCAAGCAGATTCATTGTGGTCAGGTGTATACTAATCTGTTACCTTCTTGGTTAGGTTAGTTTTATTCATCATCATTCAGCTGATGTTATTATCCTTCGTAATAAGTCTGTCAGTGTTTTTTCACTTTGTGACCCCATTGTTACCTGGATCGCCGTAGGCTTCTCATTCACGTCTGTCACAGAAATCGTAAATGCTTTCTCGAGTTTCATCGGTGGACTGCCGTTGTCTGTGCTCCTTATGACGAGTGAAAATCTGCGAAGTTAGATCGAAACAAGAATAATTATTCACACTCTATGAGTAAAAAGTAATTCTACTGGATCGAAAATTGAATACAGACTATCAACATTCCTCAATCAATTTAACAGCGGTCGACTGGAAGGCGCGTATGGATTTCCCGCCAAAATAAAACTGCAGGTGCTTGTGTATTTTCCGCCAAAACTGGGGCCACTTAACGCAAACACTTGCCTCCGCGAAATTTAATACTCCTTAAGTATCAAGCCAATTTTGAACCAGTCAACGCCTTGATGACCATTCGCCAGTGGAAAACTCGAACTCATATCAAACTGTTTTAACTAAAACATTCCTTGTTTCAGGGACCGTTTATTTTTTTTTTATAAAAATGTTTATGACAACAAGCACGCACGCCTCGCGCGAGTGTTAGCCATCAGCCAGTAGCCAACGATTGCAAAGCCAATCCAATTCGCGCATTCTAAATAGACAACGATTAGTTTCTTAAATGTCAATATAAAATGCAACTGACAATCTCAGAACTCTCTTTGTCGTTAACAACTTACTTGTTAGGTGACGATTCGTAGTCGAAGACAGTCAGTGTGTACAGATCAACTCCACGTAGTTCAAACTTGCCACTTCCTCCACTGACAATACTATAGGTGTGCTTGTCTTTACTGTTCGGGTCCACAGACGAAAATGTACCTACTTTGGTGCCGCGTTGTTTGTTTTCTGGAATACTGGCTGAGCCGGACAAAACGATCTGCAAAGGAACAAGATAACCAAATTTAGCTCTTTGACACTTTTATCATTTGCGAAAACGAGGGTTTGGAAGGAGACTACTGGGGCCAATATGGCTTCTCATCTTTAAGTTTGCCCCTAGGAAAGGTCCCACAGGCGACTGTAAGATGAGACCGGCCCCAGATATTTCCTCGTTTCTGAATTGGTGTTTAAGCTGTGATCATAATCGTAGACGAGAGAGTTTCATAGAGTTAAAATTATTGATTTGTATTCAATGTTTGTTGTGTGCTACAAGTAGTTGTTTCAGTTGTTTCGATATTCTTAGTCACGAGATCGAAATATAATTTTGCATATCCACTTATACAAGATAAAACATCACTCTTCGATCATTCTCGCAATTCTCTTCACTTATCTGCTTAAAACTACGATCACATTATAAAGAGAAATGAGATGTTCGTCATTCGCTCTAACCTGAGTGGGTGGATCATTGTTGCGTTGGCAATATGACGTAGCATATGACGACCACTGTCCCGATGTTTGACACGTGACCGTGGACGATCCCTTGATGGAATAGTCCTTTGGACATCCCAGTGAACACGTGACAGGGTATGTGGTCTTGCCTCCTGGGCACGTGGCAATGGCATGCTTGCAAGTGCTGCCGAGCGAAGTACCTGAAGACAAAGGAAATGATGTTTTTAAACAAAAAGAGATTGAACAACTTTCGCTTCCGTTAGTACGTTCGACAAGGAGGAAAAAAAATCGTAGTCCTTTCATAAACATGGACTTAAGGAGCTGCTTTTTTTTTCAGACGGAAAAAGAAACGGGAATTATAGTGACGTCAGTGACATGAAAAAAAAAAGATTTGTGTGAAAAATGTTTTTGCGTTTTCACAGACTTTGAGAAAGGAGCTTAATGTTTCTCCATCCAGTCACAAAAAAGGGAATTTCATATTCACAGAANGGTTGTGGTTAAAGATTTCTTAAATTCGGTTTACTTGTCAGTGTATCGATAGTGAAAGGAGAAAAAAAAAATTACCCTTGGTTTGAGTGGGACAACTATTCCAGAGTATTGTTGCGTGACGACCAAATAACATTTCAAATACAGTGGAGTTTGTTTGAGCCAGATGTGACAATACAGTATTCAAGATTGCATGACAACGTTAGTGACACGGCAAACGACGACGGGAATGTCTCGATCGTTTCTCCGGTTCAATCAGATTTCGACTCTCCTTCTAAAGAACTATCGATGTTTAGTTCCCTGACACTTACCCGAACCACAGGTGTTGGAGCAAGCACTCCATGCAGTCCACGAGGATGTCACGCAATCAACAGGACAACAACTGTGTGTGCACGAGCGAGTTTGCTTCTTCGCTGGACACGGAGAGCTGCAGTAAGGTACCGTGGCAATGTTACGTGTTTGATACTGAGTGCCCGCGCCGCACTTGCCATTGGTTGGTGTACAGGAGCTCCATGAACTCCAGGAACTCATCTGAGGAAAGAGATTGATTCATTTCGTCA